TTCTTTCTTTCTTTCTTTCTTTCTTTCTTTCTTTCTTTCTTTCTTTCCCCTCACCTCCCTTTCCCTTCCCTTCCCGTCCTGAGTTGGGTACAGGAGCAAACTATAGTAATGATCTTGTTTGGGAGGCAGTACATCAGAACAGAAAATTCACTTACCTTCCCAGGACAGGTTCAGTTATCAAGGTAGTAACACCTGTTTTTGCTATTATTCTTGTTTATATCCCAAATAAGAAAAAAAACCCACATGCTTAGGTTTTGCAGGTTTTAAATACAATATTTGCATCAGTGTCTCACAATGTTTGAGCTAAAAAGATAGCAATCACATTGTACATTATTATAGAAATGTCTAACTTGAGTGACATGTTCTCCTGCAATATATAAAACCTGCAGAAATTTGGAAATAAAAATGACTCAGATGATTCCTACACTGTAGAAAACCACACATTGGTATATGTGCGATTCCAATATAAATGCACACCTGCAGACTATCTCTTTTGGTCTTTCTACTTCTTGTGGTTATACTCTATCATTATTAATGGAACTTGTGAAAGATGATATACTATCTTCTCCCAAACTTTGAATCTAGAGAGAACCTCCTTCATAGACTCAGGAAATAGTTTGTAATAGAATAAAAGAACCTACTTAAACGCCATAGAGTTGTATCCAACTATGACAATGAATGATCATGACAGCAATGAATCAATCACTCACCATCACTTTTAAAAGTCAATTTTTGCTTCTATATCTGTTCTGGAGGACTGGGCCATTTATTGAAGATTTGGGAGAGTGGGTGCAATGAGGATTAGAGGGGAAAGCAAGGGAATCTTCACTGTGGGCTTTTGAGCTAGAAGAATGTAGGTCAGGGGTGTCCAACCTTGGCAACTTTAAGACTTGTGGACTTCAACTCCCAGAATTCCTCAGCCAGCTGTGCTGATGTAGGTGATCACTAGATGGCAGAAGAGTGATACAGAAAACTACCCATTTACTGCCGCCTAGTGGTGATCTAGAATTTTACAATTCAAAGCCAGTAGCTGTAATTCATTTCATGACTGGAAATCATTTTGTGTTAAGTATTTATATAATACACCTGTTTCTTAGGCGAGTGTTGTGTCAGACAGTTAATTTCACTCATTGATTGGCCTCATCGATTGCAGTTTAATCTGTAGCAAGCAGCTGTAAAAGGGCTATCTTGCAGATCTGTTCAAATATCTGTATTTCCATTTCTGCAGTAATAATGCAAAGAAGATGTATACATGGATAAAGCCGTTTCTGCTCACAAAATGTCACTTGTAGTTATGCAGCTTGTTTGCAAACCTGAATTAAAAGAGCAAAAGAGCCATTTGATGTAGTGGTTGAGGCACTGGCCAGGAAACCAGGAGATTGTGAGTTCTAATCCCTTCTTACTCATGAAAGCTGGCTGGGTGACTTTGGGCCAGTCATTCTCTTTCAGCCCAACTCATCTCAAAGGGTTGTTGTGGTGGTGGTGGTGAAATAGGAGTATTAAGTATGTTTGCTGCTTATGGTTGACCAAAATTGAAGATGATGATGATGATACAATTAATATTATTAGACAACATCTACGTGTTTCAGGTCCTTGGGAAGGCTCAGTAGGTGGACAAAAATGCCATATACAGTCTAAACATCTGGCTGACTAGGCATTGACCATAATACAAAAAATATGGTTTGACTGACAAATGACATTGACTGACATTTAAGGGAGTTACAAGTGGGTTTTATGGATGACATAAGATGCCCCTTATTTCTTCCCTTTGTAGCTGCCCATACTAACTTTATTGCGGTCATTAATCAGCACAAGAGAATTGATATTCAAATAGCAATAATATCCAAAACCAAACTAACAATGTTAGGATAATTTAAAAAAACTACAAACAAAGAATTTTGGCTAAAAGACCATTTCAGTTAAAATATGCTAAATGTCTTGCTCAGGCTATGCATATACAAAAAGAAAAAAAATAGCAAACCTTGGTAATCTAATTTTGAAATAGCAGTTATATAAAACACACACAGATACACATTTAAAAAATAAAATAAAGTATTTCAAAGGGGGTTTAAGAATTTTAAATCTCTTACAGGTTATAGAGCTGAAAAAATATAATATAGTACAATACCTGATTTTGTATGTACACCTTAAAACCAGTTAAGGTGAACCCATAGTGGATATTTGACCATTAGTGGCTAGGATTCTGCCAGATGACTATTTACAGTAAACTTATTTGTTACAATTATTTTCCATCTATTTATTGGCCCCTAATGGGGGCTAATCTAGGCAGCTTACAATAATAAAAAACATTATACAAAAAGCAAGGTTTCATTGATATTCATGATTTAAAAAAAAGTTTATGATATACCTCCCTCTTCCCATCATGATCCTTAAATGACTGGCTGGCATTTATATTCTGTGTTTATAGATCATCATTTATTGTATGTGACATAGAACTTCTGGTCTTTTATTTCTTTATTGTGTTCACGTCACACTGCATTCTGGGGTAAGTTACTGTTATTCCCGTTTTACCAAGCGGGCATTAGAAGTGTATTTCTTTCTCCAGGTGGTTCCTACATGGCTGAATTAGGTTTTGAGGCCATGTCTGGGGTTCTAAGAGTTTCTTCCTGGATCAAATCTATATCCAGGTAGGGCTCAAAATCCACGATTGAAAGTAGCACTTGGTTTCACTGTGAGATAAAGCTATTTTCTGTTGAGCACCTAACATCTATTGTCTCTCTTCTCCTTGTGGACAGCTGCTGGAATTCCTGTGACGTCGCAGAAAGAATGTACGGAAGATCCATCAATATTGTGCCAGGATTTTGCTACAGCTCTGAAGTGTGGAAGCTTGGAGCGCTGTTACGAGATCCTGCAAGTTAATCATCCTGTGAGTATACATGACAGTGTAATAAAAATGTCCATTTCATTCTTAATAACATTTCCATTTCACTATATCTAAGGTATAGACCAGTGTTTTTCAAACTAGGTGAATTTAAGATGTGTGGACTTCAGCTCTCAGAATTCTCCAGATAGTTAGGGCTGTGTTTGTGTATGTATTGAAGGCTGCATAATTTACTTAATAAATAAATGTTGTCCTCTGTAATCAAATGACTATTAGCAGCTTACAATATTTTTCAGCCCATGACTTGAAATCTTCCATAATCTAATAGTAAAATAAAATTAAACTTCAAATATGCATACATTTAAATGCATAGGTGTACTAAAATTAAAAATAAAACCTATAAGTGAAATAAATAAATAGATGGGAGTTGACTCTTCGGCTTTGTAACAGAGATGAGCACCGCCCCCTAGAACCGGAAACGACTAGCACGTATGTGCGAGGGGAACCTTTACCTTTATCTAGTTTCCATGAATAAAGTCCAATTTCAGTAAGAGAATATTATGAACTAACCAAGGAACTACAACGATACAAATCTATCAAATAAATAATTATAATTGATTAAAATCTGTAACCATAATTACTTGTTCTAGATGTTTTATCTAAAAGCATATTCCACACATTTAAACTAAGAAAATATTCCAAACATTTATGCAAAGCATGGGTAATCCCTAGATGGGCATTATAATTAACAAATGCAATACAATTATTAAATCAATCACCAGTACTAAGCTATAAAATATAAGAAATCACTTATTTCTTCGTGTATTATGTATTTGCAAGACCTTTTGATCAAAGTTACTATACCCTTAGCAGATTATGAATTTTCATTTCTATATATTAAAACAAACCATTGTTTAAATGCTAGGAAAAAAAGTAATATATATTTAACCACGATCAAATAAGCCAGCTTTATAAACCTTCTTTTTCATTGAAAAGTCTTGAAGTTTTTTCCTTTTAAAATAGTGTCCAAAAGCAAATTTCATTCTTTCTTTATCTTTCTCAGGAACTCTTTCATAAGTATTACACAATTCTTTTGTAACATTTTCACAGTGCTGTTTCAATCAGAGTGACACATGATTTGTGACAATTTTCAGGTGATTCATCCTGTTTTCCGCTCGCCAATGAACTGAAAGGGAGCTAGCCTATTGCCCTGCAGAAATTGAGATGATAAATTCAACACAGTGCAAATGTCAAACTGAATTCATAGGATTCCACCACCAAACTAATTAGTTCTTCCTCTCTATTGAGAGAACATTCCCAGTGGATAATTGATGAAGATGTTGAATATTACATCACAGTGGATTAATCCAGTGAAATGGGTGGGACCATATTGTCTATTTCTGAAGAACCTGTATTTATCTGAAAGCTAATCCAACATTGCGTGTTTAAGGTCTTTGCTTGAGCAGGGGTTGGATTAGAAGACCACCAAGGCCCCTTTCAACTGTGTTATTCTATTATTCCATTATTCTTTCCCCATCCTCTCTTAAGGCTGCTCCCCTATTGCAACAGAAAGTTTTCTGATCCCCACACTTGTCCAGATTCTCCAGAACCCATTTGGGACCTACAGAGGACTCATAGCAGTGGTGGTATTCAGCAGGTTCTGACCAGTTCTGGAGAACTGGTAGTGGAAATTTTTGAATATTTTGGAGAACCGGCAAATCCCACCTCTGACTGGCCCCACCCCTATCTATTCTCTGCCTCCTGAGTCCCAGCTGATCGGCTGGGTCTTCTTGTCCTGCACAGGAGAATGGAGCTGGAAAGCAGGTTAATGGGATGAGGAGGGATTGGGTTTTTTTTTTGTAGTAACCTTCCCCCAGGAGTGGGAAGGGAATGGGAATTTTGCAGTATCCTTCCCCTGCCATACTCACTAAGCCACACCACGCCCACCAAGCCATGCCCACAGACCCGGTAGTAAAAAATATTGAATCCCACCACTGACTCAGGACTATCTGTTCTGCTGGTGGAAGGCCACAGCTAGATGTACCTTCCACCTTGATCTAACCAATATCAGTACAATACTGCAGGATGAACCGTATATATTTCCCTTTTTGCTAGATCCCATTTAGTTAATTCTGAAATCATCTTGAATTTTCTAACTCTCATTTTTGAGTCAGTAAGCAATGGAGACAGAATTTCTGTTTACTGGTCCAATCTTCTTTTCAGTCAACCAGCCCTTCTACCCTGGTGACTGAGGACTTGAATTACATATCACATTAAAGATACAACCATTGCCTAAATAGCAGTCGTATCTTTCATCTCACTCAGTTGGCCACTCTCGATCTCTTTTAACCATGTTTACCAACTTAACCAATTCCTTACTCCTTGGTTGCAGTAAATGATGTTATAGAGAGAAAAGGATATTACAGACAACAATTCCCATTACGCCTACTATATCTTCTGAGCTGCTGCAAATGTTGGGGATATTTCTCCAACTCACTGAAAATTCAGGAAAGGAAAGGTGTGTAAGACAAGCAGATGGCTTGGTTTTCTGGTGGCCTCTATATTCATGCTCCAGTTTCTTTGGAGCTGCACTAAAATGTGGCCCATTTTAGGATATATGGGAGGAAGTTTTGTTTTATTAACAGAATAACAGACTAGTCTAACTCCCTGCTCAAGCAAGAGACCCTATATCATTTCAGACAAATGGTTGTCCAATTTCTTCTTAAAAACCTGTTGGAGCACCCACAAGTTCTGGAGGCAAATTGTTCCACTGATTAAATTGTTCTAACTGTCAGAAAATTTCTCCTCAGTTCTAGGTTGCTTCTCTCCTCAATTAGTTTCTATCCATTGCTTCTTGTCCTGCCTAAGGTGTGTTGAAAGGCTTGGAAAATGCCTTTCTTCTGAGGATTCGATTTTCCTGCTGGGAGAGCTCCAGTGCAAGGATACAGACAACTGCTTGAAAGCTGGATCTTTTTATTTTCAGGAAGGCGAGAGATAGCAAGAAGTCTGCGTTCCTGGGGCTAGCTAGCTTTGTATGATAAGCCCCTGATTTTTATACTTTTTTTCTCCTTTTGTGTGTGAGTGCTTGTGTTTGTATTTCTTAATGTTTTAAATCCTGTCAGGGGTTGTCTTCATTTCCACCGGAGGGTAAACTCCGCAGGGTGGTTTGATTGGATTATGCAGTTTTGTCCTAATGTTTTCTTATATTTGTTTTGTGGCAATCTCCTGTCTGTCTCCTTTGCAATATATTTTGTGTCTTTTGTCTGTTTGTTTTGCTGATTTGGCATGTTTTGTGTTTGTAAGGGTTTTCTTTTCTTGTTTCCCTAGTTTTCTTAATTATTTGGGCTTTCGTCTAAGGAGCTTCTTTAATACCTTTTATTTGATTTCTTTTCCTATGCAAGTTTGTTTTATGGCTGGCTTGATGTTCCCTTTGGGCTTTTCCTGCTTGGGTGACACCACTGTCCTCGTGAAGTTCCCTTTCCACAGGTGCTTTGGAGAATAGATGGACCCCTTCTTCTTTGTGGCAGCCCCTTCATATTGGAGCACTGGAATAATGGAACACATTATTCAATGGGCATATTTATGTGTAGTAATAGTAAGCTCTTAATGATGTGGCTGTAATGACGTAACAAATCGGATTACAGGTATAAAATCACCTGATGAAAATCGATAAGATGAAACAAGACAGTACACGCATCTCTTTACTTTGCAACAAGCAGAGATCTGCACAAGCATCAATGCAAACAAACCTTTCTCAAGAGCTTGCTGCCAATCTGGCTTTGCCAGCAAAAAAAAGTGTTATCTTTTGTAGATGACAAAAGAAAAAGTAGTTTTGAAATGGTCTGACTGGTGGATTTGATTCTGCAATCCAAGCGATGGGAATTTTTCTCAGAGGCCTTGTAGAAATAGATCCACAAAGCAAGTTAAAGGGTAGATCCGCGAGTAACATTTTCTCAGCTTAAAAATACGTATCTGGTAGGGACTATTCCAAAAATGGCCTTTAGGAATTACTGATTAGCATCACCTGCATTAGCATTTGCAAAAGCATTTGCTTTTCTCACTGAAAAAATCTGAAGCAATTTTTTAACGGATAGAAGTAATGGATTAATTAATAAATAGAAATATTAATTCCTTTTTTTCCCCATAATAAAGTTTTTAATTGAGGAAAACGAAGAAGCTATTTTATTACTTGCCAGGGCACTAAAATCTCTTCATGATTCTTAATGATTTCCTTTACAACTGAAGGGGGATGCTGAGGGATTAAAGGCTGTAGTAGAGAGCCATGAAATTGTACTGCGATTGCTGATGGGCAGAAGTAGCCCATGTGATATCTGCCATATAAGCCTGTATTTGTTTTAAAAAAATATTTTTCAGCTTATGTGGAGGAGACAAGTACCATTAGTTGAGCCAGTAGTTTAAATTTTTCCTGTTTTACTGTTCTTATGGAAGTTATCCCCATCTTTACTTGAAAAGATATTGGAGTACATCTAAGTACCCAGAAGTGTTCTGGATTTTGTTCTGATATGATTTCTGGGATAGGAATTGTATGTTAGACCAACTTGTTCATGATAAAAGTAGCACTTTTATGGTGTATTATAGTTCAAAGGCTCTTTTAGATTTTTATCTGTATCAAAGAACCCTTTTTTTCCCCTATGGCTTTCCCCCGCTTTTGTTTCTACTTCCCAATTTTGTTTAAACTCTTTTCTCTTTGCTTTTTTTTGCATTTAATACTTTTTTGAAATTTAATAAAGTTTTTGGGGAAAAGAGAATTGTTTGTTAGACCAGTTACTCAGCTTTATTTAGTAATGATGGGAGAAACTTTGTTTTAAGAAAACAAAACTGGCTGTTCCCTTTTGACACTAAAGCATATGGATGCCAGTGATAGACATTTAATCTCATTGACTGACTGTGAGAAGTGCAAGTCCCATTACATGAAATCAGAATTCCAAGGTATCCCTAGGAGTAACACAATCTATTGCCATATATTAGAATCTTGGTGCCATTGATGTCAGATATTGCCCCAACAAACTGCCCTTGATTTGTTGAAATGAATACATGATCTATCTTCTGACAGTAAGAGATCTCATCATCCCAAGCAACAGTGGCAGTATTTTATTACCCTTTACAGGAAAAGCAAAAATATAACCCTACTTTACTCTACTACAGTAGAGGCTGTCCTTTCAATACCATACCAAATTGTAAGTAATTTGGATAGGACTCTTATTTTAATCAACGCAACTTCATGATGACCTAGGTCTTAGTTTTGTGTCAGAGGAACTATGCAGCCAATTTAATCCAAACAAAGAGTTAAAATATAATACAATTGTTCTTCTAGTAACACTCTTCTCTTTTTTCCCTCAGAAAAGCCTTAGATGTTCTCTTTGTAAACTCCTTGTAACCATGATGGCAAAGATTGTTCAAGACAATTCTACAGATGTAAGTACTGTAATCCAGGCTTGGGTAGATGAGGGAATGGGGGGGGCACAGTTATTGATTGATTTATTATTGAAGGAATTGCTTTAAAGACATTTTAAAGAAATGTTCTGTGCTATATTCTAATTTAGCCCTCAGACTAAGCCACAAAGTGGCTTATTTAGTGTCACTTAAAGCAATGTAGCTTATAAGATGGTAGATTTCTTTATTGTCATTGCACTGCGTACAATGAAATTAAATGCCATCTTCATAAATAATCATTTAGTTAGGCCATTATGACCTAACCAGCAAATAATCAAATTTAACCATGGCTTAAACATTATTACGAACTTCTCAGGATCCCTTTCTGGCACTAAACTAACTTTATTCAAAGTGAGTTTTTCATTCTTAACCCCCCCCCTCCCGTTCTGTTTTCAAAGATTGCTGTAGCCATTGGGAAAATTATAAAGAATCTGAAACAAAATAAAACAGAGCAAAGCAAAACAAAACAAAGCGATTTATGTCCTTCTCTATATCTTTCTCCTTTCTAGGAAAGACTTGCTAAGTTTTTTGAGAGGGGATGCCAGTATCTTCCCTTCCAGGACTGGTCAGTCAAATGCAAGAAGATGGTGGACACAGGAATAATCATTGTTATAGAGCTTGGTAAACAAGTTCAGGTAAATTATCTTTGGAACTATTATGGGAGTTGATTGGTGCTTCTCACTGACTTTTCATGGAGATTGGAGACCAGATTCAAGTCAACCATTTTCTGATGGTTGATTTTATTATTTACTCTGCTATCAGCATGGTTGCTGGTTACTCTGAAACTAGCATGGTTGGACAAAGATCTCTCCGATAAACTGAAAGACAAAAAGGACAAGTACAAAAAAGTGAAAGAGGAACACATAACCAAGGCACAATATCAATAGATATTCTGTTTGCAAAACTGCAAAGTTGAAATCAGGAAAGCAAAGGCTCAGAATGAACAAGGACTTGCAACAAAAGCCAAAGATAATATTTTAAAAACTTTCTTTCAACATATAAATAACAAGACAAAAATCAAAGAAACAGTGAATCTACTAAGGAGAGAGGATTGCAAGGAAGTAACAGGCCGTAGAGAGAAAGCAAAGTTGCTTAACTCATTCTTTGCATCAGTCCTCCAAAAAGAAATCATAGCCCAATCTACCAAAAATATAACTGTAAAACAGGCTAGAAATAAAAATTAAATTAAACAAGAAAATGGTAAGAGAACATCTGTCTGTTTTTGATAAATATAAATTGCTGGGATCTGATGGATTACATTATTTGCCTTTTTCCTGAGACTATTAGTAAAAAAAATCTGAACGGTGATGCAGCTGTACTCTAAGAATTGAATTTATTCATTTCAAAATATGATTCTGTTTCATGGTTGTGTATATTACCCTTAGATGTCCTCCAGCTTGAACAGTTCATACGATTATTTTAATTGAATGTTTTAGTGATTTATAAAGATGACCTCTTTTTTATAGAAATATTGAAAACATTCTCACATTTGACTGGTATGTGTGTATTTCAATAAGAGTTGATTGCTTTGAACAGAATAAATGTTTCATTAAAATTAAAATTCTGCAGTCAAGTTTGGAGATAATTTTTTTTAAAAAAGCATTTGAAAGTCACCAAAACCTCCTCCCTTTCATATCTGATCTGATGAAACTGGTTTTGCAGGCTTTTGAACTACTATAAAAGCCTACAAAACCCATTTGACCAGTGACACCCACGTAATTAGCATACACAATACAACAAGTAGGAATGATATCAAACTAGCTTTAATTTTTTTTTTGTGGGGGAGGGGAATGATCTATCTCCATTCACATGTGGGGAAATTCCAGTGAGGACATGGTAAGCTAGATGTCCCTGAAGAAGTGGGGAAGATATGTTGGAAGAGATAGGAGTCTGGAAGGTAGATCCTTGCCCGATAAATCTCTGGAGACAGGAGAGATTGTGAGATTACCTACATGTACTCCTTGTGAGTAGACTTCAGGTTTTTGTTGTTGGCTGGTGAGCCAACAAGTGACTTGGAGTCTATAGATTTCAACTAAGTTCACAGACACAATGTAGCCTATATAAAGTTAAGATGAGCTTCCCTTCTTAATCCTTTTTGAAATGAACGTCTTTTACTGCTTTTGAAGTTTTAAGCATCTTTGGAACGGCACATTTTTGGCCTTCACTGGCTGAGTTTCCTCCTATCCTTAGCAAAAGAAGTTTTAAATAAGAGTTTAAGGATTTAGAAAAAAAATCTTTTGGGAGGAAACAAATGGCAAATGAGTGATTAGAGCAGGGGTCCCCAAACTTGGCAACTTTAAGACTTGTGGACTTCAACTCCCAGAATTCTCCAGCCAGCCAAGTTGCCATTTTTGAGACCTCTGGATTAGAGTGTTATTTCTGGAAAGTTACAAATGGACTAAGAGACTAGATAGATTTGAAATGAGATTTTGAAATTGATTATAAATATCCTGCCCATGGGAAACAGCTAGTTTTCTTTTTTTTTAAAAAAAAAGGAAAATAGTTATAATAGGATGGGACTTTGAAGTCTAGACAGTAGAGGGAACCAGAATGAATTATAACAAATGGAGAAGTATACTTAAATATAAGTTATTAATACAGAATGGATTAAAGTACTTTAACATTGAAGATATTTGTGAACAATGGAGTGAGAAATTAATTTTAAGAATATCTGCCACTTTAGTTAGACTGCAGGTTAATGAAGTTAAGGGAACAAATTCTACTGGTCAAGATTGAAATTGACTTGAATGTGTATTTAAAAATGAGATTCTAAGCACGATTTTGAAAGAGGTTATATTCTGAATATCAACTGGTATCATAAATCAGGAGAGTGACAGATAACTTTCCTACATTAGATTTTGAGTTCTTGGATATTATTTGAAGGGATTAAAGAGCACAAATGTTAGAAATAAAAAAAAAAGAATCAAAAGTTGTTTATAGATAAAATAGATATCTTTCATAACTCTTAATGGATTTTTGCTGAACAGAACTGAATGACCAGGCATTAAAGTATATTATTGATAGCTAAGAGATGAGATATGAGAACTTAGTTGTTGCAGCTTAGGAGGTGAAAAGTTATTAAAATTGTTTATAATTGTGAAAAAGGAGAAATTACTTCTTTATATATACTGCTCAAAAAAATAAAGGGAACACAAAAATAAGACATCCTAGATCTGAATGAATGAAATATTCTTATTAAATACTTTGTTCATTACATAGTTGAATGTGCTGACAACAAAATCACACAAAAATTATCAATGGAAATCAAATTTAGCAACCCATGGAGGTCTGGATTTGGAGTTACACTCAAAATTAAAGTGGAAAAAAACACTACAGGCTGATCCAACTTTGATGTAATGTCCTTAAAACAAGTCAAAATGAGGCTCAGTAGTGTGTGTGGCCTCCACGTGCCTGTATGACCTCCCTATAACGCCTGGACATGCTCCTGATGAGGTGGCGGATGGTCTCCTGAGGGATCTCCTCCCACACCTGGACTAAAACATCCCCCAACTCCTGGACAGTCTGTGGTGCAACATTGGTGGATGGAGCGAGACATGATGTCCCAGATGTGCTCAATTGGATTCAGGTCTGGGGAATGGGCGGGCCAGTTCATAGCATCAATGCCTTCGTCTTGCAGGAACTGCTGACACACTCCAGCCACATGAGGTCTAGCATTGTTGTGCATTAGAAGGAACCCAGGTCCAACCGCACCAGCATATGGTCTCACAAGGGGTCTGAGGATCTCATCTCGGTACCTAATGGCGAGCACATGGAGGGCTGTGCGGCCCCCTAAAGAAATGCCACCCCACACCATTACTGACCCACTGCCAAACCGGTCATGCTGGAGGATGTTGCAGGCAGCAGAACGTTCTCCACGGCGTCTCCAGACCCTGTCACGTCTGTCACATGTGCTCAGTGTGAACCTGCTTTCATCTGTGAAGAGCACAAGGCGCCAGTGGCGAATTTGCCAATCTTGGTGTTCTCTGGCGAATGCCAAACATCCTGCACGGTGTTGGGCTGTAAGCACAACCCCCACCTGTGGATGTTGGGCCCTCATACCACCCTCATGGAGTCTGTTTCTGACCGTTTGAGCAGCCACATGCACATTTGTGGCCCGCTGGAGGTCATTTTGCAGGGCTCTGGCAGTGCTCCTCCTGTCCCTCCTTGCACAAAGGCAGAGGTAGTGGTCCTGATGCTGGGTTGTTGCCCACCTACGGCCTCCTCCACGTCTCCTGATGTACTGGCCTGTCTCCTGGTAGCGCCTCCATGCTCTGGATACTACACTGACAGACACAGCAAACCTTCTTGCCACAGCTCACATTGATGTGCCATCCTGGATGAGCTGCACTACCTGAGCCACTTGTGTGGGTTGTAGACTCCGTCTCATGCTACCACTAGAGTGAAAGCACCACCAGCATTCAAAAGTGACCAAACCATCAGCCAGAAAGCATAGAAACTGAGAAGTGGTCTGTGGTCACCACCTGCAGAACCACTCCTTTATTAGGGATGTTCTTGCTAACTGCCTCTGCTTTCCACCTGTTGTCTATTCCATTTGCACAACAGCATGTGAAATTGATTGTCAATCAGTGTTGCTACCTAAGTGGACAGTTTGATTTCACAGAAGTGTGATTGACTTGGAGTTACATTGTGTTAAGTGTTCCCTTTATTTATTTTTTGAGCAGTGTATTTCTTTTCTTTTTCTTTTACCCCCCCCCCCCCCCATTTTTATTGTTTGTTTTCCTTTTCTGCACATTCTTTTCTTTTTTTTTAACCTTTTAAAGTGTGTATTTAAGCTTTCATCTTAGCTAAATAGTATGTATTTGGTCCATAAACCAAAAGTTTCTTTTGAGAAATGAACAAGATTTCTATAAATAAGTCTCTTAAACTTTGAGCTGGAAGACAAGTGTTTTCCAGTTTCTCTATTTTCAAGACTGGGAAGGCCCTTTTGTGAAACTGTTTCTCTCTTTGGCTTTTTCTAGGATAAACCTGAAATTTTGTGTACCGCTTTTCTACTCTGTAGTCAACCAAGTAGCCCTGCTGGAGCCCTGAATTTTCAGAACCAGCCAAAATCAGAAGAATGGCCTGAAATAGCAGACTTTCCTGAAATGCTGTCTCCCTTCATAGCTAATGTGCCTCTTCTCTTCAGTCCTCAAGACAAACCCCAAACAGAGCCTTGGGTGAGGAAATAGCTGGTCCCCTCCAGTCAAACACCCAACCAGGACAGGACAGAAAGATCTCAGAGGAATGGCTGGGGCCTTGCCACTCCAGCTTAAAAGGTTCTTGGTACCTGAAGCAAACTTCATTTGACTGATAAGGGCCGGCTCCTTCAGACAAAGTTCTCTGAGGCTCTTATATAAGGGTGAAAAGTCAACATCCTCTTGTATAATCTGTCTAATTTCCAAAACGAGTAAAGATATACGGCATAAGCTATTTGCAGGAATTAGTTTCCCTCAGCCTTTTGCCAGCCAGATAAATTGGGCAATTCCTAGGGTAACTGACAATTTGGGGAAAGTATCAGATTAGGAATTATTCATGCATACTTAATTTCTTGTGGGAACTTCTGCAGCCCACATAAGTGGATGGGAGGCATCATTTTGGGATCACCAAATGCCCGTGTGGGGTGTAGCTAATGCTCAAGATGGACATTATTTCTATTGTCTGGTAAAATTATTCATCCCAACTGAACTGGGTTTCTGGAGGTGTTAATGTATTAACCCCTTTCTACAGCAACTTCTTTTACAAGATAAGCTTTTTGGCCACAGAAAATTAGTAGGTATGTTAATCCTGTGTTCTCCTCTGTTCTCCTTAGTTCTGGCAGAGTACTCTAGATCCGTGTCATGAGTGCATGGTGGTGGCTGAGGAAATATACGACATCTTGAAGAACAATGCCTTTCTTATCCAGACTTTGCAGGATTATGCCAAGAAGCAGTGTGAAAATTTGGGGACCCAAATGGTAGATGAGGTAATTCACGTAGCATCTCCCTAAATAATAGGGGAAACATACCTTGATAACAATGGATGAGGAGCATCTCAATGAGGAACCAGAATGGAATTAACTGAGGTGCTCACAACTAATTTATTGATTATTATGGCATGGATTAATCTTTGAGGATTACTCACGTTGTTGGTTTTTTTTGTGTTAATTTCTTTAGTGCAAGAAATATGTCCCTGAATACGCACATACTTTTGTGCAATTCCTCATGGATCTCTTGGTAAGTTGATTGCATCTTCATGTCTTTGGCGAGCAAGAATGCAACTTATTGTTGATAACACTCTTATCCTAAATTACAATTAAAAATATAAAAAGGAAAAAAAAGCACAAGAGCTGAAAGTAAAAAAAAAAGAATATATTCCAGAAAAAAAGAAACATCTAAAGAAATTACTTCCTACTTCATCACAAATAATATAAATAATTTTAGCAACTTATGCCCTTCTCTTAAAATACAACAAATGAACTATTCTTCCATATCCCACAACACCGTAATCTTTAAATGAATAACAGTGAAGGCTGGTTTCAGATGGGGGATAGGAATGCCAGATTTTATTCTGAAACAGTTGCATAACGAGGACTAGTCAAAGGTGTCTAATTTCTGAGTCAAAAGGCAAAGCAATGTCCATTTCATCACCCCATTTGTAGCCAACGGTGGGACTGTGATTAAATCTCATTTCAAGGGTGGTGGAGGGATAATAAAGTCCATTTGTAGACCACCAGGATGATGTCCTGAGGCAAATACTCAGAAAGTAGAAGACCAGATTAGGGATAATTTTGGTCAACAGATACAACCCCCTCATCCCGAAGGACAACCACTACTATGCCTCACACTGCCTCGTGGTTGGCTGGGCTGAGCTTCATTGTGATGAAATGCCATTATAATGCCAATGTGATCCTTCACAGTAGATGAAGGCAATTTGTATTTGAGGGAGGGTTGCAGCCTCTGATCATCTCAGCTTTGTTTTCTAGACATATTCTTTTAATGTTCTGTTCTGGTGGCAGAACATTAAAAAAGAATCTGAGAGAATAATCTGATGGAATCAGGAAGATTCTTGGTTAATATATGGCATTTTTGCTCAGTCAGTAGAATTTAAGTGTTGAATATTTGTCTTATTGTCTTTTCTTTTTCTTTTCTCCTCACCTCTGTTTGTTTGACCACAGGATACGGTACGTATGCTTTTCCACCTCAAGCTTTTCCATGTTGAGCATTTTTTGGGTTAAACAATGGCAAACAGTTTTGTCTGACTGAAAAAAGCTTGGGGTTTGGAGGGAAAAAAGAAAGCACAGTAGGTAATACTTCCTCTTTGCTGTTTCCAATAGGAAGGTAAAAAAAAAAAAAGCCTTCACAAACTTCATATGTTAACAGTCTGAACATTGGGGCAGTTTACTGAAAAAATTGAAGACCCAGAGTTATTAAAAAAAAGAAACAGGATTATATTCTTATGACACCAGAATTAACCCACTGAATGGGGAACTTGCCTTTCCTAGAATTGGGGATTTTACTGATAATGCTCGATTCTCTTACCTCCCAGATACTTAACAGCTCCCAAAAGTTTTGCACAGTTTAATTTTTATCATTTTAAGAAAAACTGTCCACAGGTCAACCTCTTCCTGTCAGTACAATATCAGCAGGTAGGAAGACTCTACCAACAGGTGTGGTCATGTGACATCTATGAATGAAACCAAGATTTTCAGATCTTTCCTCTTTTTTTAATTTTTCCTTCCTTCAGAAAGTTCTGGAGTTTTAAAAATTATACTTTGTACAATTTACTGAAGCCAATCACCTAAACCCTGTAAAATTTAGCTAGCGCCTTGATTAGGATTCCTCACCTTCAGCCTGTTTAGTTAATTTGGAATTCAGTGCCTTATACAAACTCACAGGGTGATCCCCACATTATCTGAACCAAGCCCCTGTTCAGCTTTTTCTAATATCACAGAATCATACATTATAAAATTGCAAGAGATCCTGGAAATTGTATTATCTCACTGCCTGTCCAATGGGGGAATCCAGTGATACTGCTGATCTAACAGATGGTCATTCAGCATTTGTTTAAACCCCTCCAATGAAGGTTTATGTTACAGTTTTCGTAGTCTTCAATGAAATGGCAGTATTTTTTTTTTAAAGAGAACCTTAACAGTCTGGGGTCTGTAGGCTGGGTTTAGGGTTGCAAAATCTTGCTTCAGTTGGAGTTCATGCCACTCTAAGGAAACTATTCCCTACACCAAAGTAGTAAAATGTGGGACCTTTGCAGCTTTCTATCTTTTTAAGGGATACATGTAAAAATTCATGTATGCTAACTACATACAGTCATGTCTGTATATTAGTCTGAGTATCACAGCCAAGTATCAAAAGTAGCAAATGAAAAATCTTGATATGCTTACTATGCAATGCGATGGCATTCATAAAAATGAAACGTTAGCTTCTAATGGAACATTTTATTCTTCCAGCCACCAATGGGAATTTGCAAAAAAATTGGATTCTGTGACGCTACAAAATCAGAGCTTTTTCCTCCTTTGAGGCCAATGGAGTACCTTTCAGACTTATTTGGAGCAGTGGTTAAGGTATATATAACTATATATATAAAGACAGGGTCTGCAGAAGGACAGAGGCTAATAACATTGTCCAAGCAAGCCATTGGAGAATTAAGTATTGCTGAGATTTGCTCAAAACCAAAGCAAGTAGAATGTGAAATGTATCCTTGGATAAAATTGAGAAAGGGAACAAAATAAACCATGCGCTTAAGAGCATAGAAGAAGAAACAACTAAGAGGTTCAATAGAAGATTAGGAAAAAAAAAATCTCCGAGACCTAAGGTGAAGGGCTGAAAAATACAGATGACCACTAAATGGCAGGGAAAAGATACAGAAACTGACTCTTTGTTTCCATCTGGGGGTTGTCCAGATTTGTGCAGCCCATGTATGGTAGGTAGCATCATCTTAACAATGGCTTCCACAAAAGACATCTTTAGGCGTTAATCACTTCTACTGATGCTGCCCTACGCAGGTGACAAATGGAAAGAGCCTCAAAAATGTAAGAAGCATAATCCAACTATCATTTAAGGATCTTTAGCAAAGGAGAATTAAACTGTAATTCATTCAAACATTTGAATTTTCTAGATTATTGTAGTTGAGAAGAAAACCGGCTAAAACCTGGTCACTTCTTTCTGTATCAATTGCAGAGGTCATCTTAATCAAGGGACAATTAACTAATTGCACTGTCAAATCAGATTTGACAATGTAATGGTGTTTCTGTGGCCAATGAAAAGTTAGGATGAGAGCAATGCTTCCTGGTCATGCCTGTTTTACTTTTTGCTTAGCTCTGGAAAATATGATTTTATTACATTTGTTTTGTTTAATTCTCTTTCTCTCTCTCTCAAAACACCACTATATAGATAACTTCAGATGCGGATAAACCTCATTTGGTGTGTGATCTTTGCAAGAAAGTAGTACAGCTGGCAGAGAACCTGGTGGAGAACAATAACACAGAAGTAAGAAAGATTGAATTAGTCTCTTCTTATGTTGTGGGAAATGGTGATAGAGGGAAATAGCTTGAAAGGGATCTTTTGTACACTGAATTAATTATCGAAGCCTTCACTTCTGAGATTAGGAGAAGAAATGAAGACCAGAGCATGGAGGTTTTTTTTGACTTCCTCATTTTGAGCAAACAAATCAAAATGTGATTTTTGTTTCTATGAGGCTTCCCATTAGTCCAATCATAATACTGGCTGGCTAGATGCAAATTATTTCTGATTTAGGGAAGGTGAAGAACATTTGAGGAGATAGAAAAATTAAGAAAAAAATAGTCTCATATTTTTCATTCCTTCATCTGTCACCTTTCCATCTGCTATTCAAGAATGACTAAAATCTTCTTCGCCTGTGAACATTACTTCAGTAATTAACTTCACTTCTTTCATTTCTCTGTTACTAGAGGAAAAAAGTACAGGTAACCATTGACTCCATAATTGAGCTGGGAAATATAGTCATAAGTCATGCTGGTCATTAAGCAGGTCATCCATTTTACAATATTTTGTTGTAATGGTCATTAAGCAAATCACGATGATTTTTTTTATTGTACTTTATTTAAGAAAGTTTATATGGCTGTCCATTCACTCTGTGACTCATTAAGCTTAACCCACAGTCATTAAGTGAGCCCATTGTCCATAATGGTGGGTTTTTTTTTTGCCAGAAACTGGAAGTAAAAATACCAGTTTCCAGAAAAAATGTTCTGACCAAGGATACTGCAAATGACCCTAAATGCCAGCCAGTTGCCAAGTGACCAAAATGTGATCACATGACCAGGGGGGAGAGCATGGCCATTTGAATCCAGGTTGTAAGTACCATTTTTTTTGGGGGGGGGGTGTCTGTTGTAAATTGAGGACGACTTTTCATGACTCTCTTCTCCCTCATTTGCGCTCTCTGCAGATTAGATGTTTGATTTCTTTTTAATCTGTTTTTTAAAAAAACCTTTCTATGTTTCAGGAGCAAATAATCCATCAGATGATGAACGTTTGTTACATGTTGCCTCACGAAGTGGTTCCCCAGTGTAGAGACTTTGTGAATTCCTATGGAATGGCGGTTCTCATTATGCTGTTTGATGCCACTAAGCCTGAATCCGTGTGCATTAGGCTCAACTTTTGCCCTGAAGATGTATCTTTAAGCACCAGTAGGTGTTTATATCGGTTCTACATCTTTTTGCCTTTAGGATGGGAATGGAATTCCTTGTATTGGTCTTAAGCCGTATTCATAGCACACGTATGACTTTTACAAAATCCATGTTCATCCATGAATAATGGGAGTTTATGAGGAAACATCTCTCTGTAGATTCCCTCACCCCCCACTACCCAGTGGTGGGATTCAAAAAAAATTACTACTGGTTCTGTGGGCGTACCTTGGTGGGCGTGTGACTGGGTGGGCATGCTTTGTTTTGTTTTTGCTTTTTTGCAGACCCCACCCATTTTGGGGACCTTCTGGGCCTCAGAGGAGCCTCTGGCGGCGGGGGAGGGGGGCGTTTTTGCTCCTCTAAGGCTTCTCTGAAGCTCAGGAAGGCAAAAAATGGAGGGTGGGGGACTGAGCCATTTTTTGCCTTCCTGGGCCTCAGCAAGGGGAATCCCGGCACAGCTGATCTATGTACAGCTGATTGTCAGGAGGGGAAAAAAAAGAAAGAAATACCTTAGGCGAATGTCAGGCGGGCGGGGTGAGCGTGCATTGGGCGGGAGGCGACTGGGTCGGAGGTGTGGCCAGCCGGAACTTACTACCAGTTCGGCGAGCCACACCAAATTCTTGCTACCGGTTAGCCCAATCCGGTGCGAACCGGCTGAATACCACCACTGCCCCCTACCCCATTCAGTCCTGTCTGATTCTCTGGATAAATGCCGTTTTGAGGGCAAGGTTTTTCAGAAGTGGTTTGCCATTGCCTGCTTCTTAGGGCTGAGAGAAAGTGATTGGCCCAAGATCACACAGCTGGTTTTTATGTCTAAACTGGGACTAGAACTCATGGTCTCCCGGTTTCTAGCCTGATGCTTTAACCCAGGGGTCTTTCAAACGTGACAGCTTTCAGATTTGGGGACTTCAATTCCCAGAATTCCTCCTCCAGTCATGTTAGCTCAGGAATTCTGGGAATTGAAGTCCACAAGTCTTAAAGTTGCCAAGTTTCGGGACCCCTGCACTACACCAAACTGGCTCTCTGAGTAGATTAAGAACCTGGAAAAGAAACAACCTGGAAATAGGCATTGCATACTTACTTCATTATTGCTGCCAAGTATGCAGACATACCCACCAAGTCTCCATGAATCAACATTGACTTGAATATGATTTCATCTTCATGATGGACTTTTCATGCTAAACAGACTCCCCGAGAAGCATTTGAAGATTAATAATAAATCATTTATCTACAAACTCCATCTTTACAGGAAATGCTCCTAATTTTTCAGATCTCCCTGAAGGGGATATCCCCATGTATGAATCACTTTTCCCCGAATGCTTGGCTGCTGCCTATTAAACCAAGGATCAGCAACTTGGGAGTTTCATATGCCCCACTGCCTCCCGCCCTCTCTCCATCCCCCTTCATTTTCAACTCGTGAGTAGTTCTGGATTGTGCTTCTGAAATTTGGTGGCAAAATAACCCAATTTCTGAAACGCAGATTTTTAAAAGGAAAATATAGGAAATAGAATTGAAAAATATTCAAAATGAGTGAATGAGCAGAACCACACCCCAAATTATAAGATTCTGACTTTCAGAGGAGAATATTTAGTGGGTTAGGTAGGGATGGGAGTCTTTACCTTCCAGAAATCCCTTGCTTCAGTTCCCAAATTAAAACCATAAAAATGGCCCAAAGAAAGTAGAAAATGTCCCTTTTGATGATCATGATATTAAACGAAACCCTTGTGCCTTTAAACATTGTTTAATCCTGTGCTAAACATCAGGGACAAACCAGGTGATGCATTTAGGCTTGTGTTATATTGTTTTCTGAATTCATACCTTTAAAAATACTTTGTTGCAACTGCTTCTAATTTTGGCTTGTTTATTGGCTTTTGGGTTTTATTTTTTAGCTTGTTCTGCCCTGCATTAGGAATGTCTAATCTGAGAAATGACTTCGAATATTTTAATTGTTATAAACACGTGTGTACAAGAACTAAGATGAAGTCCAGCTGTATGCTCAAATGCTTATTTGTTTGTTGTTTAGACAAAATAGATCTTGAGGAAATAGCTCCTGAGAAGAACGCAGCCCTTGAGAAAGTATCAGAAGACAAGGATGGTGAAGTGTGTGAAATGTGTATAGCTCTTGTTAATTACATTGATGGTGAACTGGAGAAGAATAAGACACAAGTCCAGATTGTATCTTTCCTTGTTAAAGGATGCCAATTACTCCCAGAAGCTTTGGAATATCCAGTAAGTAGTACTGTGGACAAATTTTCAAGGAGTTAGGATACTGTGGAAGAGTAAAGAAAGAAAGTGGAGAACCTACCCTGTTTCTCCAACAATACGGCCTCCCCCAATAGGAAGTCCCAGCATGTTTTATAGACATGAAATGAAATTAAGCCCCTCCCCCCAAATTAAGGCCTATATTAAAACATGCGAAATGGGGGGGAGGTGGGGGGGCTTGCCGTTAAGAAGTACTTTTGTTGCACACCCGGAAATGGTGCTGCCTGCATTGACCCCAATATGAAGTGCCCCACCAACGCCGAGGTCAACATCCAAGCAGTCGCCGCCATCCCACCCAAAGATGCAAGGGGGGGGGAATTAAGTCACCCCCCCGAAAAGACGGTCTAGCCATTTTTTCAGGGCTCAAAAAAAAAAAAAAAAGACCCGGCCTTATTATATGGAAACACGGTAGTTGTTTAGCTCTCTCCCCATCTTGTTAGGCTTGGTAGAAAAAAGAGGCATGTCCCCTAAATTAACCTCATTATGAGTTATAACCTTTCTGGAGAATTACAAACAATCTTCCAAGTGGTTGGAACATTCACATTAGTTGGGCAGTACTTGCTGAACAACTTTTGAGAAGGTGAAATAAATGCTTTGAGATTCCAGATCATGAAGAGACCAACAAGAGTTTGGGCAACCTGAGTGAGATTATTTGGGAGTTGGAAGTGAGGAACTATTTCCAGACCAAACTCTTTCTTTATAGTTCTTCAGTTGGGCTGGACATCCACATATTGGGCATAATTTGGAGTATACCAGAATAAAGAAGGTTGCTCCAGTTATCATGACTTAGCTTAATTCATTTAATCGGTATGATAAAAGGTTTGGTTGGTTTTGAAGTTAGAGGACACCTCCAGGCACCTGCATTAGTTTTACTTCTTTTTGCTTTATGGCAGTGTAATCAACTGGTGATCCAATACGAACCAGCTGCTATCAATCTTATGGAAGAAATACTGCAACCATCCTTTGTGTGTGGGGTAAGTCATGTTGTAAAACTCAGTGGGTGAGCAGTTTAAATCCTACTTTTACAAAACCTTTCTTAGGAATAAGTGCCACTGAACTCTTTGTTTCAGAGTACTTGACTGTATGTAACTTTCCAGTCCTTGAAGGCAATCTTTTCTGGAGACCACCTAACTCCAAAATGAATGTGGGCAGCCAAATCAAAAATAGAACACAGTAATAAAGAAAACCCCAGGCTTCCAAATACTACTCTCCCCCTATAATATACAGGCTGAATGGGAAACGGAAAGAGAAGAAACAAGAAAGGGGGTTTGGAGGGAGATGGTGGGTATGGCCACCTCTCTGGATCTCTAACGAGAACCATCTGTCCTTTTAAGAAAGTGTAAAGGAAGAGGTGGTCAGATGGGCCCTGTGAAATTCCAGTCCACGCAGCCTTCGTCAACAGCAAAATATTCTTTCTGTTTTATTGGGGTTGGGGGGGAGAGGGAAGAGTGAATGTTAAATAGCTTTATAAAGCTCTTTCTGACTAAGTAATAATGCTAACAAACTCTTTTGCCACACAGAAAATGGGAATGTGTCCTGAACCCCGTGTGGGAATGGAGGCCTGTTCCTGGGGCCCTACTTTCTGGTGCAAGAATCCAGAGACTGCAAAACAGTGCCAGGTAATCAAGTGATGGAGCGAGATGTAGGAGAGGAGGAGAAGAGGGAGGGAGGGAGGGAGGGAGGGAGGGAAACTGACTTTATTTTTTAAAAACCATTTTCAGAGGAAGTAGAAAGGAGGCATTATTATTTAGTGATAGAAATATGGATTTTTGCTCTTTTTCTTCTTTATAAACTAATGCTTTCCTTTCTTTAGCCAAACATTGCCACAAAATGAAAAAGCAACAAATAGCCCAATGTCATATACAAATCCAAGGAAGGAATAAAGAAGGAAACACTGGGAAAATAAGATCATAAGCATAGATTTTTTTAAAAAAAAACAAACATTTTTTTTGTAGCAGAATTCATGTGCAGAAAGAATTTCTGGATTAATAATAATCTCTTAAACTCGTTGTCACTTTCTTGACACACAAGCCTGTGGATCCACCAGTAAGATGCCAAGCATGGGATCACTGATGAAACACAGAACTTTTCTCTTTGTCCAAAATAGCTTTCCTAGTTCTTTCATTACAAGAGGTCAAACTGCAAAGACATTTTTATGCCTACGAACCAATTCCCTCGTTTGGAAAGTAACCTTATACATATCAAAAAAGATGGGAGGGGAAAGCATTATATGCACAATTTCAGGGTCTGTCGGAGTAGAAATCCTTCTTAGATCTGGATGATCTAAGCTTAGATCTGGATGACGTCTCATAGAAGTCTGAATAAGTATCATTCATTCTTCCAAGAAAATATCTCTAGAATACGGGCAGTTTTCAACTTGCAACCAAATTTTTGAGCCCAAAATTTCTGTTACTAAGTGAGACATTTGCTAAGTGAGTTTTGCCCCATTTTACAGCCTTTCTTGCCACACTTGTTAAATGGATCACTGCAGTTGTTAAGTTAGCAACATGGTTGCTAAGTGACTCTGATTTCCACATTGACTTTGCTTGTCAGAAGGTAGCAGTATGACATGACTTTGGGACACTGCAACAGTCATAAATATGAGTCAGTTGCCAAGCACCTGAATTTTGATCGGGTGACTATGGAGATGCCGCAGTGGTTTGTAATTGTGAAAAAACAGTCATAAGTAATTTTTTTCAGTGCTGTTTGTAACTTCGGTCACTAAACAAATTATAAGTTGACAACTATCTGTAGTTTACTCCAATGGAAATCTTCAGCTTTTATTGAAAATGGGCTAAAACTGAGACAAGTTGACCAATGCCTCTTGAACTTCAGGTATTTGTCTCCAGATTCTCAACTTTTTCTTATGGTCAGTTGTGACATGAATTGAGAATGGCTATTTTATCCTTTCTCTGTAGGCCACTGAATACTGCAAACGCCACATGTGGAACTAGAGGAGGAGGTCCTAGCAGTGTGGGGAAACATTGAGCACATCTGGAAACATGATTTGGGTGAAAAATTGTGAAAATCTGAGTCTTGGCCGAAGCCCATCTTCCTTTCCCACCTTCAAGCTCTCAGCACCAAAGGAGACCACCCTTTCCTTTGCTGATCAAGTTCTGAATAATTTTTTTCTTTGTTTTTGAGCTATGGTGAGAAAGGAATGTAGTTGAGAAGAAGCGGGGGGAGGAAAGGATTAAGAATTTCTTGGGATTGTGTTTATAATAGCAATAACCAATTTTAGGAAGGTAAAACAACCATATCATCAAAATAACCAGAACAGGTCATTTAATGCTGGGATTTTCAAGTGAATAGCAATATTGAATTTTGAAGATGTCCTTGCACTTAAGTGGGGAGATGCTATAGGAAGTTGTTGATCAAAACAGATTAGAAGCAACAACAGCTGCAAAGATAGTGGATGTGAAAAGGTCTTCACAAAGGACATAAATCTGAGCTTTAAAAAAATGTTAAGGAACATCTCTGCTACTTATTCTCAAGAAGCTCTGAGTTAAAGTAATGTAAATGCTAAACCTTATAGCTATTCTTGAAATGTAGAATAATGCAGTGAGGCATTCCCTTCAAAATGCTTAGGCACATTTTATCAGCTGAAAAAAAGGGTAAATCAATGTTGATCTATTTGATACTGACTATCTAATTGGCAACAGTACTTTTACAAACCCTCTATATTTTCAGATTGGATGCTAAATAAAACCTTGATCCTTGAACCAATGCATATGTTGGATTAACTTCTTGTCAGATTGGTGGCTGTATAAATTTGATAAATAAAAATTTATCTTGAAAAGCCATTTGTTCTTTAGCTGCTGAATAATCTAATACGGAGTGTCAAACTTGATTTCATTGAGGGCTGCATATGGGTTGTGTTTGACCTTGGGGGTCAGGGTGGCTGTTGGCGGGGTAGGCGTGGCCAGCTCAACATCACTCGTGTCGGGAGCACCTGTGGTGGCCAAGTGCTAAGGTAGGACTTCCCTCCCTTTCATTATAACCTTCCTTCCCTTCTTTTTCCTTCCCTCTTCATTTTCCTTTTTCTTCCTTCCCCTCTTTCCTTATTTTTCCTTCCTTGCTCTCTTTCTATTTCCTTCCTTCCTTCCTTCCTTCCTTCCTTCCTTCCTTCTTTCTTTCTTTCTTTCTTTTCTTTCTTTTCTTTCTTTTCTTTCTTTCTCTTTGTCTTTCCTCTTTCCCTTTCTCCTTTCCTGTCCCTTCTTGCATGTTCAAATGCAAAAGGGAAAACATTTCTCCTTTTGTTTTTAGTTTGTTTTGCTAGCCATCTGCCAGCGAAAATGGAGCTCTGCGGAAAATGGAGCGTAGCCCCCCTGGCCTCTGTTTTCGGCAGAGACGGCCGCCAGCAGCCCTCTGCCAATGAAAACAGAACTCGGGGGCTGCTGTCCCTGAGCTCCATTTTTGCTGGCAGAGGGCTAGTGGAGGCCGTTGCTGCCAAAAATGGTTCTCTGTTTTCTCCGGCAGAGGCCCTGCAGACCAGTCCTTTGCTGTTTCCGGGGCAGTCCCAGGGGCCAGATCTAAGCACCCCATGGGCCACATCCGGTCTCCGGGTCTTGAGTTTGACACCCCTTGTCTAATAGATTTGCAGTCCTTTGATACAAATAAAATTGTTTTTCAGTGAAATCTACTTAAAACTTGTAGAGAAAGAAACCGAGAAATACCACTTGTTCACATGTCAGAGAAGCCAATATGAACAAATATTTAGGCTGTGGGGTACATGATTCTCCTGCCTGATATTCCTATCAATATTGTCCATACCTAGTCCTTTTCCAATAGCATACACCTGAATGTGACCCATGCTAGTTCAGAAGGTGCGGATGAGCATTATGAGGACCATCAAAATTTGTTACAATGAAGACTCATATAGGAATTTGAAAAAGAACAATAGATTCCCTTTAGTTGTGTGTGCAGAAGTAACCATCTGTATGCATATCTTTCCCAGAGCTGAATAATTCAATATACTGGGTTCTTCACCTATTTTCATGGAAGAAGTGCAACAACTGACGCTTTCATAATATCATGAGATGCTAATTAGTGAATGAAGGAAGCAAAGTTTCCACTTGGAATTCTGCAGATTTCAGGGGGAAAAAAAACCACTGTTGGGGAAGCATTACCCAAGCTTTCTCCTAATTAATGGATATCTATGCTTTCTCTCAATCTTATGAAACACACAATGAAAGAGAAGCCCTGAAGCCATCGGCTTTGATTGCAAGAAGTAACTATAGAAACATTGGCATGCAAGTAGGTAAGTCGGGGTGCAAGGCCTTTGAAAGAGGGACTTTGTACGTCATGGTTCCATGAATAAAGCTTCTCTCCTTGAGTCATTAAAACAATTGTGCCTTTTGCAAAGCTTGTTTGGTTATTTCAAAAAGCCTGATACCTAACAGGCTCCTCTAGAACAGGATTTCCCAAGCTTGGCAACTTTAAGGCTCGTGAACTTCAATTCCCAGAACTCACCCAATCCTAGCTTCTGCATCGGGTGACCCACATGACAGTGGTGCTGAGCCTGACAATTGGAGAGCATTGAGATCTGCTCTACCTCTATGTAGTCGAATGGGACCTGCATTATTCCACAATTCCTCTTTCAAATGCTTTCACTGGCCAAACAAATGACATCTCAAAGTGGTAGAAATGTCATGTTTTTGGTAAGCACTGAAACATCTATTCTCTATTCTCTCTCTCTCTCATCTGTCTGTCCATCCATTATCTATCTATCTATCTATCTATCTATCTATCTATCTATCTATCTATCTATCTATCATCTATCTATCTATCTATCTATCTATCTATCTATCTATCTATCTATCTATCATCTATCTATCCATCTATCATCTATCAATCTATATCATCTATGTCTATATCTGTCTATATATCATCTATCTATCATATATCCATCTATCATCTATCAATCTATATCATCTATATCTATCTGTCTATATATGTCTATCTATCTATCTATCTATCTATCTATCTATCTATCTATCTATCTATCTATCTATCTATCATCTATCTATCTATCTATCATCTATCCATCTATATATCTATCACCTATATCAGGGGTTACTAACCGTTTGGACCTCAGGGACCACCAAACTCATAATTTTAAATCCCGGGGACCACTAATATGAATTTTGACTGACGGTGGCTTGCTGATGCTGGTGGGAGAGAGAGAGAGAGATCTGATCTAACCTCTCCCTCTCCCTCTCCCTCTCTCTTTCTCTCTCTCTCTCTCTCTCTCTCACACACACACACACACACACACACACAGAGGCAGGGATGGGATTCAAAGTTATTAACAACCAGTTCTGTGGGCATGACCTAATTTGTAGGTGTGGCTTGGTGGTCATGTGATGCCTGGGCATGGCTTGTATGTAAATATAAATATTTATGTAAATATTGAATTTTTTATTTAAAAAAGAGCAACTTTTACCCAAAATCAGGCAAAGCAGGCGGGCAGATTGAGTTGCTCATGGAATCATAGATTCATTCAGAGATCTATCATCTGCCATCGGTTACCTGAGTCTGCAGTGAATAATAGAAACTTCAGTCCTAAGGAAGGTTCGGCTCTGCTTAAAAGTAGAACCAAAGATCTAAAGATTAGCTAGAAAGCAAGAACTCCGAACGATTTCTTGCTTTCTAGCTAATCTAAATCTCCTGGCACAGCAGAACAGCTGATGGTTGGAGGAAAAAAAAAAGGAAAAATAGCAACTTAGCAGGCAAGTTTGCCAGGTAAGGAGTGAGTGGGCAGGAGGGTTCCTGCGGGCCATGTGGGCGGCGCAGCCTTGTGTTCCTTCGCAGCCTGGATTAATTGCTTTGTGGGGGAGCTCTGGGGATGACATTTCTCTGCGGACCATCAAAATTTTCTCACGGCCCACCAGTGGGCCACGGTCCACCAGTTGGCAACCACTGATCTATATCTATCTCTATATCATCTATCTATCATCTATATCTGCTATCATCTATCTATATATATCTATCATCTATATCTATCTATCTATCTATCTATCTATCTATCTATCTATCTATCTATCTATCTATCATCTATTTATCATCATCTATATCATCTATATACAGGTAGTCCTCAAGTTATGGTCGCAATTAAGTTCAAAATTTGTGTTGCCAAGTGAAACATTTGTTAAGTGAGTTTGCCCCATTTTACGACTTTCGTTGCCACAGTTGTTAAGTGAATCCTTTGTTAAGTTAGTAACATGGTTGTTAAGTGAATCCGGCTTCCCCATGGACTTTGCTCATCAGAAGGTCACAAAAGCTGATCACATGACTCCAGGACACTACAACTGTCATAAATACAAGTCAGTTGCCAAGCATCTGAATTTTGATCATGTGACTATAGGGATGCTGCAATGGTTGTAAGTGGAAAATGGTCATAACTCACTTTTTTCCAGTGCCGTTGTAACTTTGAACAGTCACTAAATGAACTGTTGTAACTCAAGGACTAGCTGTGTCTCATCTATCTTGTTTTATTAGAAAAGTAGCCTTGCCTTTTCAGGTTACACCAAAGCGAAAATAATCATTTTCCACCAAAACTCCCTTTCTGCAGAAAGACCCAGAATCAAGAACAGTATCGGACACAAATAGCAACAGCAACAGAATGTACATTTCTTGGTAAACCTGTGATTTACATAGATAGATGGATGAGAAAGAGAAGGAGATAGAAAGACAGAGACATGACTTTGGATATCAATTCAATCTATATTATGAAAAATAGTCTCCTAAAAGAACATTATTCTGTGCATCTTCCAAACCTTCTGGCCTTAGAAATGTTAAAGTGTGTTCTTACAAGCTTCACATAGAACTTTGATTTTTCTAAAACGAACGAAATCTTCCCATTACTTTTGAGCATCTCTTGTATTCTAGTTGACACATGAAAAAAGAAGACGACAACATTAAATTGTGCTATATGGTCCAAGAGTTCAACCAGCAGGAAAAGACATGGTGTGGGTAGACATAGGAAATGTAGGGGTTAGGTATTACTAGATTCTCAGCCATCCAAGTCATGGTTGTCCCAAAGTGCTTTTTCAAGATGGAATTGAACTTTCTGGTTTTTCTTTGAAGATCCTTTGCTTCTCATCCAAGAAACTTTTTCAGCTTTGACTGGATGAAAAGCAAAACATCTTCAAAGAAAAACCAGAAAGTCCAATTCCATCTTGAAAAAGCACCTTTTTGGACTATTAGATATATATATTGTTACACTGGTCTGACTCAATCACAATCTTTTTGAATGGATGATTAAAATACAGGGATGACAATGAAGTGAGGCAGGTATTTGCTACCATTCAACTCATATCTTAGGGCAAATGTTTTAGAAGTAAATGATTTCTAGGTATTAAAGGTAAAGGTTCCCCTCGCACATACGTGCTAGTTGTTTCTGGCTTTAGGGGGCGGTGCTCATCTCCGTTACAAAGCCAAAGACCCAGCACTGTCTGAAGACGTCTCCGTGGTCATGTGACCGGCATGACTAAACACCAAAGCTGCATGGAACACTGTCACCTTCCCACCAAAATGGTCCCTATTTTACTACTTGCATTTTTACATGCTTTCGAACTGCTAGGTTGGCAGAAGCTGTGACAAGTAACGGGAGCTCACTCCATTACGTGGTGCTAGGGATTCGAACTGCCGAACTGCCAACATTTCTGATCGACAAGCTCAGCGTCTTAGCCACTGCGTCCCCCATATATATATGGTATTCCCAGGGGTGGGATTCAAATTTTTTAACAACTGGTTCTGTGGGCGTGGCTTAGTTGGTGGGTGTGGCTTGGTGGTCATG